CTTAAGAAGGCCAGGATTGTGAACGGCACCGAAAGTCTTCCAGATGGTTACTTCAGTGCAAAATCCTTTACAAATATGGAACACTTCCTTAAACACGCACTCGGATAGGGGGTCAAATATATTCGCCGTCGAAGATTTTACCGGAATGACTTCCGAACGGCGTAGCATAGCCGCACCAAATTTTGCGTAGCTGTAGAAAATGTAATAACTGATTGTTTGGCGGCAAAAATATTGACAAATCTTGTAAGGACACGGATCTAAAGCAGGTCAAAGTCAGACCATGGAGCCAGCAAAGAAAACATCTAGGAATCGTTGAATATGATGCAATAACGGAGTGTTAGCCAAAGCCTCAGAGATGGTTTCTTAGGAAAGCCAGCAACTAAATGAACAAACTCCATTGACCTGGGGTCAGGTATGTAGGTCAGACCAAGGTCATACCCAGCCTGTGTTATTAATCAAGAGCTTGCTGAAGGGGCCAGTTTCTGATGGTCATTTTGGATTCATCGATAACATGAACCGAATTACACGTCTTTCATGGACTTCTTAAACGTCAGAATAGTTCACTGACCTAAAATGACCCAGGTCACTATTTAGTTTTTGGGAACATACTGCCTAGTGTAATCTTTGGCGTTTGTTTGATTTTGGACACCATGACCTTTGAACAGTCAAACAAGGCGACTGACTTTAAATGAGCACTATGAACCTTTTGCTTAGAACAGATATATAGGTTCACGGTAGTTGCATGGAATGGTCTGGGGCACTTTGGACACCAATACAGAGTTGATGTTGTTTGATCTTATTTGACGGCAAAGGAACCTCCAGTTTTGGCACAAGTGAGTTCACCTACAAGCCAATACACCATGTCAATTCGAAGCCAGTACACCCTGTGAATTCGGTGTCTTTAGTTGTATTACTTTCTGAGATATCAGGGGCCAAGTTGACATCCTCACCCGAGCGAAGAGCATTCAATCGGCCACTCAGGCGCGGGTGTAGCTCGCTTCAGGATTATTTGTAACCGTCGTTCGAAAGAATACGCTCCTGCCGCGGCCGAGGAATTCGTTCCATACCACGAATGTCTTTTAACAAAGGCCAGGGCACTAAACGGTCATAAGCGCATTGTAAAAAGTCAGATAAAAATTATTGAATTCCTGACCTAAGAGGAAACATCTCTTATTTAAAAAAAACATGCCAGACCACCCAAAAAAAGAGTCCTTGGGGACAAAGTTACGCTTTGGGAGAGGGTATCAGCGTTGTTAACTGCCGGGTATGGGAGGACGTATCAGCGCTGTTAACCGGCAGGTATGGGAGAGCGTATCAGCGTTGTTAACTGGTGGGTATGGGAGGGCGTATCAGCGCCGCTAACCGACAGGTATGGGAGGGCGTATCGGCGCCGCTAACCGACAGGTGTGGGAGGGCGTATCGGCACTGGGGGAGGGGGAGGGGCGGGGCGGGTGAATGTTGTGTTAAAGGCGATTGTTGTGTTAAGTTGCATCAGCGCCGGAGGGCGAATGTTGTGTTAAAATAACAAGCCTCAGGGTTCAGGACCAAACTGTGTGCATTGAATTGGTTTTAAAGGTATCCGACCAATACGTATGCCCCTGCTAGATGAGAGGAAGAAAAGGAAACACTATATAATTGTCTGAGATGTTTTCATCTCATCAGCACTCACATTGTTTTTGTTGCTATCAGTCGCGCTGAACTTCCACTCGGCAATTTTCTCTTCGAATGACTTTTCTTCTCCATCGATATCAGGAGGCAATCTGCAATGGAATAACAGTGTCACAGCTCCACAAGCTAAATATTTTTGGCGCACTACCACCTGTGTCTAGTTTTTTGGTTGGGATGGAAAGAACAGCCTGTCACAAGTGGCCCTCACGGACCGTAGCACTTCAGGGACGGATTCGCAAAACCGAACTTCACGCAAAGGTGCTTAAAATAGAGATTTTAGTGGCGTTTACAACAACAGCGTATGACAGCAACCGAATGAGCTGTAAAACCCGTCTCTCTCACGTGCCCAACCCATTTCTATATTTCAAACTCTCGTCGAGTGCGTCAGGAGGCCACATAACGGGGGAGCCTACTACTTGACACCCTGCGGCGTCCCACAAGAGTTGTGCGCGCCGCCGGACCCGGCCGGCACGTGCGGGCGGCAGACGTACGTGTACTGGCGCTGCTGCAGCGCGTTCACCAGCCGGCTGGTCAGGTAGTCCATTAGCTGGCGCAGGAAGATCTGCAGCCTGTCGGCACCGCGGCACGCTGCAACAGCGGCCACCGTCGCGTCAGTCGGTCGGCCATCCCGGCGGCGCCGTGGCCCCTGAACGCTCATATGGCTCTACAGTCGCTGACCCTCTACCAAAAGACGCGCGACGGTGTGCGTCATGCTCCATCCGTCACGCGGTCCGCTGCGGGCCGCGACCGACCGGCCTGCGCGCACGTGGGAAGCAGGGCGGCTGTGAGGCTGGGCGGCTGTAGTGTGGGACATGGGAGTGAGGACTAACTATCTGGCGTCCCCAGTGCGCTCGTGAATGCTTTTTTCGTAGAAGTGGAATGGAATGCACAACAATGGAATCGGTGGGGGTGGTTGGTGGTGGAGACGCCTATGTTGACCAAAAAAAAAAAATGTTACGGTTAACCAGAAAGAAAACTGGCCATCGGGCGTGTAACGCTTACGGCGTCCTACGTTTGCGGGGACAAAGGTGTCTATTCGTTTCAAGAGAGAGGTGGCTCACAAAGGTCAGTTTCTGGGTTAACGTTCCAGTGACTATAAAAAGTGGGGTCCATGGTTATTGTGCCTCCCCCCTGCCCTTTTCCCCCGGTTTTTCGTTTATGAGGTAAAACGCCGTGTACAAGCAATTCACGCGGAGGACCGAGGTCGGGAGGGGGAGCGGGGGCTTGGTGGGAGTTGCGTGACCCACCTCTGGGCAGTCTGCCCCGGCCCTGCTGGTTCCGTCGGCGGCCCTTGGCATTGGGCCGCACCTGGGAGCAGTCGGGCACGCTGCCCTTGACCGTGCGCTGCACCGAGTGTCCCGTGTCAGGGTCAGCGCACCAGCAGTACCCTGGCGGCACAGGTCGCATACTGACTTATCGGAGGCGCACGCTACACCAGCAGCAGCTAACAGGTGAAGACGACACGAGTCAGGTCGTGGCTGGACATAGCGGCAGTACCTGGGCACGTTAAAGGACCAGCACCCGACAGTTGGCACATGGCATCCCGACCAGTACCACGCGCCGGGCATGGACGTCTGTAGACGCACTCGTGTGTAGGTAAAATCGTCTCATAAAAGCATAGATGCAATACGTCTTGTATGCTTCTCATGGTGCCTCCAAGTATAAACACAAAAGCCACTCTTTGCTGGCATATGTGTGGATCATGATAGTATAGAACGACTTCTTTATTTTGAAAGCGCACAGAAAAGTTTGGCAAAATGTAAACGGGATTTTACATCCAGACTTCGGCAGCGGCCGCGGCTAGACCAGATAATGACTGCTGCTTACCTCCACGTACAATTAAGCGATGTACCACGCACCCGCAATACTTGCTAACAAAGGTGGTTTTTGAACGTTTGGAATACGGGGGTCATCTGACATGCAAACCACAAACATCTCTTTATCGTCTGAGACATTAACGTAAAGGTCACGGAGGAGGCGCGACCATACATTTGACATCAGTCTGGCTCTCACGCGTCAGTCTCCTACTCACCGGTGGCATTATGGCACTGTACACGGTTGTACTTGTGGTCAGGGGTGCAAGACGGGATGAAGAAGCTGTTTCCGCGCGTGCCCTCCAGCTCCGCCAGCCGCTGGTTGTCGAGGGCCAGGCGCCGGTCGGCCTCGCAGTTGTTCTCCTGCTCTGAGGAGCGGGAATGGGAGATCGTGACGTGACACACGACGTCCGGCATCGGCTGACGAGCCGAGCGGTTGGTCTCGTCTCCGGCTGGGCCAAATCGTGATGACTGAAAGCAAGCGCTCTGCTGTTTAGAAGCCTGGCATAAGCTTTATCATTGGCGCCTTTATGAGTTATCAAGCAAAGAGTAGCGCAATGGCATCGAACTGGCACCGAAAGGGACTACGAAGGCGCGGAGGAGTAGCATTAGACACACAATGACTGCGGCCGTCATGGGGCAGCCCGAATGCGTCATATGGCGGCGTTCTCGCAAGCAATAGTAGTGCTAGCTGCCGATAGATGGCAGTGAAATCTCACCCTCAGCGGACTTTTCAGTGATGCTCTCTTCGACCAGAAGCATGTCGAACATTCTACTCCGGGCAGATGCCGGCTCCGGCTGAGCGTCTAGGCAGCACACACACACACAAGCAAGGTCAGGCCAGGTCGGGTCGTGTCCGGTGGGCCAAGAGGCCCGGCGAGGCGCGATGTGCAATGTGCATAATCACGGCAGCCATTGCAGCATCGCACGTAAATTGAGTGCAACAATGCGGGCATTCAGAAACGAGGACGGCAGACTCGTCAAGGTCCTGTTACTGGTCGGACAGTTAACAGGACGCAGAAGCCATGGGATCCCAGCGCGCATGCTAGCGCCAAGCAAGCCGAACGCCAGAAGCGGCCGCAGACGCCGAGGCCCGCTGGGCGAGGTTAAGCCGCGTCACAGCCGGTTAATCACCACGTCTGAGGTCTCACAGCCTGAGAGAAACACGCGCAGGTCCTAGCAGCTGCTGAATGACCCGCAAGGCAAAGCAGTATATTGAACTACTTGCACTGCGTACTCTAGGCTAGATCATAATCAGGGGTAAATGTATATCACCAGATGGATGGAAAAATGCGCAAATCAGTCATACATTAAGTGTCAAAAGACAGGGCATGGTGCAATTCTCGATTCTGGTCCTTCTGGTAGAAGGTATTTTTTCCTTCGACGTAAAGCACGGGCTTAAGCCAACGAGACACAACGTAGGATCGGCAAAAGAGGTGAGTGAAGCTGAGGGAGCCCCACCGAACCTGACGTTACCTACCTGGCTGTGCACAGGCTCATTTGAACGCGAGGCGGTCATTGGCCAGTGCCTGCTCTGTCAGCCAGCACTGACCTGTCTCTGGCGACCGGCCGGCGCTGCCGCTCTCCGCCGTCCCCTCCTGTTCCTCGTTCAGCGCGAGAAACACACGGAAAGAGACTGCATCAATGTGGCGGCAAACACCCTGGCGGCCGGCGGAGGAACTAGGAGGGACAGGCGGATTGACAGGTGGCGCCCTCTACCCGCCATCACTTACGCTCGCTTCCGGGCCTGGCCGTAGCAGGATGCAGTTGGGTGCTGCGTGCAGTTATTACCAGCAAGTGGGCAGCCTTATTCACAGGAGCACGTGAGGGGCGACACGCGACGGGTGCAGTGCAGTCGGGCAGCGTGCAGTTGTGCATCGTGGGTGCGACTTAGCGCCAGGAGAACGTCATGCCACAACGACGGCGCAGCCCCGCAGTGGAATCGGAGCGAGGAATGCATGCACGCACGGCAAGCAACACCTTAGATATCAGCCGGCGGCGGGCAAGGAAGTGGCTCAGGAACCAGACAAAGAGGCTTCGGCTATGATTAGTGTATTTCGAATACCGATAATTAACGGGAGAGTCAAGAATACAAGCACATTATGCTCACACCAAACCATCGATTTGTATGCGTGCGTTATCACTCTGGTGCAAGGGAATGGCACAAGGTGGATATCTGAGGCTGTCGTGCTCCCCTTGGTCCAAACCGGTGCCGTTCCCTGCAGCTGGAGGTACAGGATTGACTGATAAAGAGACATGAAATGCCCCTATTTGGTATATTATCGTAGATGCAACACAATCTTAAGCATACTGGGAAACTTTGTTGTTTGGCCGCAAATAGCCAAGAACCGATTGCGGAAGACCCCTAACACCTGAAAATTTCTGAATCAGCATAGAAATGAAAGGGTTATGCAACAGACTGATCCAGATCTGTGTGCGGTGAAGCGCGAGCAAACCTGTACCATAAGATGGCCTTACCCGACACGATTCGCTGCGAGTTACAGCGGCACTTGATCTTCGCACTCACATGATGTAAGTAGCAGTACAGTGAATATGTTGCTGGGCCTTATTTCCTGTCTCAAGCTGCACTTGTCCATACTGCTATCGCGTCACGTGTGGTCCCGGTCGCCTAGCAATCGACCGTTTGCCGCCAGGAGTGCTCACGGCGGGAAGTGGACCGTAAGGCTGTACTTTGGGCGTGTGTGCCCACCGAATGGTGAGCTGTTCAAGCAGCGCTGCAGGAGGACATAGTGACCTGTTCCGTGATACTGATCCTTAATGGACACTCAGAAACTGATGTGCAAACTCTGCCGTGTGCATCACGCTGTTCGCCAGCACAAGTGCATCGAAACTGAAAGCCTGATAGCGTGTTTTTTATGGGGGGGGGGGGGAGCTGTGTTGCTCCTGCAAGGTATCTACGATATGTTGGGCTTAAGCAAATACCTCCAGACCTCAGGCGTGCAAACTAAACTCAGCAGCTTTATCACTGCCAGCTGTACAAAAAGTGCTGTTTAAACCACGTATACCAGGTTTGTTCCATGCGAGAATCACAGGCTCAGCTGGGACGCCAGACAACCACAGCCAGACAAAGACAATTTCTGTACCTACATACTTCTAAACGTTCCATTTCCTATTACAAGTTAGTGCGCTCTTTGCAAGTGAAGACGTGGTCCCAACCTGTCTTGACGTCAATCATTGATAAATCTTACTGAGCAGCAGCTGTCCGCAGAAGCTGCCCATGCATCGGGACATGGTCTTCATCAAGCAAAATTCCCAGTCCCAACAAAACTGATCGTGCGTTCGTTACGAGCGTAGGCGGGGGCCCAGTTTGCATCAATGTCAGCTGCTCATAAACCTTTTGATTTCGCCGCCAAATCCGACCCTGACATTTACCCTGGCGATCACATTTTTCACAGATTTGCATTGCCTACCCGTCGATCGTGCCACCGTACACAAAAGCCTTCCCTCAGTGCGTTACAACAGCGACCAAAAGCGGACTGATACCTCGACGGTCCGATATCGACCCCTCTCGGTGAGTGAGCAGTTCTTTTTCCAAAAGAGCGGGTCGCTGTGCACCAACGGGATGCGTGCGCTCGAGCGTAGACAGTGGACCAGCCCGTTGTTCGGCATTTTGAACATGGATGTCAGATGTCCACGACCGGACCATCTACCGACAGGAAGGTGCCTGCACCGTGCGGGCCCATGCATCGCGAAACATTGTGTAATCCTGTCATTGTCCGACGCATCGCAGCACTGGCAGTCCACCAGGCGGCGGCCATTGTCACCTTTTGCCATAATACTTTGTGTTCAGCGCGTCGGCCGGCGCGGCCTTTGCGGGCTGCTTCAGTGTGCTGTCGACGTCGGCGCACAGCGGCAGTCACGGTCCGTCTGTGCACCGTGACTTACCCGGGCGCCGGGAGGCTGCACCGGCAAAGGTGCACAGGTGTTTTCAGTCATTACCTTTGCTGCTCATCACTGCTGTTGCCCGTCGCGGGATCATAAACACGTTCAGCGCGGCCATATCGAGAACCTGTGTGATGACAGGAGGCTCAAGCTTACAAGGCGTACCTACGAGCGACATCGACATCGCGGGAAATCCAAACCACCTTCACCTTCCCGACCTAAACAAGATACGCTCAGGAGGCGCTCACTTTACAACCAGCATTCGTTGTGCCGCTCTGTGGAAATCTAATTAGCAATTAAGAAATTTCCCATTTCCTAGAATTCCCGAAAACAGACGTCCGTTTTCTATCTTAGGCATGACGGCTTTTAAACTCGCTTCTACTGCGTTCCTGGTGCCACCTTGCCACAGTGCAAAGATCACTGGCACGAGCCTGACTTGCTTTATTTGGTGGAACCAGTGCTCTGATCAGTGGATCCATCAACAGTTAGGCCAACGGGACTGATTATTCCCACCAGAAAGACCTGTTTCTCGTTTGCTTGCAGATGTCTGACACGTCTCAGAATTAACGGGGTCAAATGGGTCTTGGAAACAGGGGAATTCTGGAGAGATAAAACAGAAGTGAGCATTCAACAAATTGTGTGCAGCATGGCCGGCCTATATGTGAGGCATAACCACGAGAGCCTCAAACGGCATACATTTCGACGGTAAAAACATATACATTACGGAACATCGCAGGTTGCCCAGAGTCTCGGAGTGATATGTATACGCAATGCTCTGAGACGTTTTTGATCCGTCAGTAAGAAGTGGGCGGACTGTGCACCTGCTCAATGTAAATTCTTCAGCATGTTGTCATGTCTCAAAAGAAAAAGCACTATCTTTCGGGCTTCGAGTGCCGGGTCATTGGAATGTGGCACGACGGGCCGAACAACAACGAAGGCTTGGTAACCGAACGGCAACAAAGGCTCGATGACTGAACGACAACGGAGGCTCGATGGCCAAGCAACCACGGAGACTCGGTGGCCAAATAACAGCGGAGGTTTGGTGGCACAACAACAACGAAGGCTCGGTGGCCAAACAACAACGGAGGCTCGATGGCCAAACAACAACGGAGGCTCGATGGCCAAACAGCCACGGAGGTTCGGTGGCCGAACAACAACGGAGGTTCGGTGGCCGAACAACAACGGAGGCTCGATGGCCGAACGACAACGTAGGCTCGATGGCCAAACAACCACGGAGGTTCGGTGGCCGAACAACAACGGAGGTTCGATGGCCGAACAACAACGGAGGCTCAATGGCCAAACAACCACGGAGGTTCGGTGGCCGAACAACAACGGAGGTTCGATGGCCGAACAACAACGGAGGCTCAATGGCCAAACAACCACAGAGGTTCGGTGGCCGAACAACAATGGAGGCTCGGTGGCCGAACAGCAACAAAGGTTCGATGGCCGAACGACAACGGAGGCTCGATGGCCATGCAACCACTGAGGTTTGGTAGGCGAACAAGACTGGGGGCTCGGTGGCCGAACAGCAACGAAGGCTCCGTGACCGTATGCGTCTGGACCTGCATTTTCCTGGTATCAGTTCCGGCATCTCTAACCACTCGTCCACTCGGATGCATAGTGCTCAAGTTTTCATCCACACATCCTGTGCCAAGGCCCGGATCAGAGCTCTGTACAAGACGTGCAAAAAGCCGGGCACAAGCCGAACTGACGGATTCTTATTGCATGCCGCGTGGGTATTGGCTGTCGTCTTAGCCTCAATGGTAGCCCGTTCGCGCTAACATGAGGGATTGGAGCAAAAGACGTGCGAAAAGCACCTGTCGCCATTCGAATACCGTTACATCAAACACTGTCAAGCCTGTTTTTGGCTGCGTGGCGGGCAGTGTCCCGCTCAGCTTACGCAAAATCCATCTTCGGTCGCATGGGTATCCAGTAAAGAGGCTCTAGCCCGCCCCATCATCTTCCGATGTGCTTCATATTTCGTGCGTAAAACGAGTTAAGGTTTGTATATGGTTTTTAAACCCATAACACAAAGCTTTTCATGTGGTTAACGTGAACAGAAACGGCAATCAAGGATGACGCCCCAAATATTTGAAATTGTTCGCCATTGGTAAAACGCTATTGTATAGGCTGACCTCAATGGCTTCGTAGTTTCGAGATCGGTACAGGCTCGACGTCTGTTCTATTGCGGCACTGCGTGCCTGTCGTCTGAGACGAGGAAAAAGTAAAACCATTCGTCGTTCTCCAATACGCTATGTCATCCAAGCGCAGCTGCCTTTGACGTCCAGTTGAGGCTGACTCTGAATCAGGTACCTAAATGACAACAGGGTCTGTCTATTGACCGTCGTAGGCCAGAGAGCAAATTGCCTACATCGATTACCAGTACCACAAACATCGCAATGCCAGGGTTCTACCATGGAGAACGCTGTTTAGTTTTCGAAGCCGGCTCCGAGTACATCACGCTGTGGCATAAACCAAGACGTTCGGCCGCAGCAACTACAGAGGTGCGTACAGGAGTTCACGGGCATCGGCCGAGCATTATTTCATTGTTGGCAATGCCTTTGTCACAGTCGCCAAGGACGTGAACTCATACAGGTGAATGTGAACTCGTACAG